AAATTTTGAACCAGTTGTTTGGGTGTGTTTTGCATCACGTGATAATTTATTTACTTTTTTAATCCACCTGAGATGGGTTTCACGTAGCCTAGGCTAACCTAGAACTCAATATGTAACCAACAATGGCCTTGAACTGATCCTCCTGCCTCCCTTCTCAAGTATTGAGATTACAGGCATATAACATCACACCTGGCTGAAGAGATGGTATTTAAATATAGCCTTAGCCTTAGTCAAACAGTCTCTTCTGAATGATAATTTTAAGGTGCCAAAATTTGCTGACACATATGTCCTAGAGGAGACATTGCAATACACTTAAATTTAAGTGGTACTTAGAAGGGAGAAAATTCTGGAATTTATCATTAATGTTTCATTAAAACAAATTGATAGAGTGCAATGAGGGTGTTCATGCCTGTAATGCCAGTATTTGGGAGGCAGAAGCAGAAAGATCATGCGTTTAAGACAGAATGAGATCCCATCTTTAAAAGTCTTTTAATAGCACTTTGTGTGTGGGTTTGTTCAACTGGTGAACAAAGGCATGAAAGATGAGTGCAAAAATAAATCCTCTTTTGCAACCCAGAATTCGTTGTTCAGTGTGAGTTTGATACGTACAAGAAGGAACATGACAAGACAGCTCGAAGTGATGGTGTTGACAGAAAAGATGCTGTAGGAATTAAGTGCCCCTGGTAGCCAGCCTCGGGCCCAGGGCACACAGGCTCAGACTCACAAGAGAGTGAATATGTGCCATGGACCATGTGAGGAACCTTATCACACAAGATGAATATTTACCTGACCACTGGCACTTCTATATTGATCTCAAAATTCTGAAATCAGGACTTTGCAAGTAAGATGGAAAATAACTGGGGGGCCAAGATGGCAGAGCCACACTGGCCTGGCCACCCAAGCACACCAGCAAGGTAGAGCCAGTCTACATGCCTATACCCACCAGTGGTGCCTGGCCACCCATGTGTACCACCAATATGACTGCCCATGTGCACTAGTGGGTCAACCATCTTCCATCACCCAGTGGCTGTCAAGACCTGGCTGCAGTCCTCAACAACACTAGGAAATCTGAGAAGTTTACAGACTTCAGAAAATAAACTAGAGGACACCGGGTGTAAAGCTGCTGTGTGAAGCTGTGAAACCTCCCAATTGCCCCTCAGAGAATCCTGGATCAAAGTCCTGTGACTTAACTGCTACCTGCTGTGAGGCCCTAGCTTCTGCTTTTACCCACAGTAAAACCCTGTAGGGAATCAACCTGTTGGAGAACACCTTGGTCCACAGTGGGGTCATTGTGCTAAGTGAGAACTGGAAACAGCCAACATATAACCTGCATTCAAGGGCTGCAAACAACTAACTTTGATAAGGAAAATCAAGCATTTTAGACCACTGAGAAAAAGAGAAATCCCGACTTGACATTCCTAAACCATGTGTAAGAGAAACATAAAGAGTAAAAATCCCATTCCACGAAACCTGGACGTCTTCTAACCCAAAACCGTGAACAAAGGAAAGGCAGTGGCTCCTTTGGCACACCTCTGTGTAAGAAGCATAGATCACTGACACCAATGAGATATGATTTCTTCAGCACCCAGCTCTCAGAGGTGTTACATAGATGAATGGGGCTTTTCATTTGCTAATAGACATGAATTCGGGGTGGAGGTGTGGGGGGCGGTAGGATGAGGGTGGAGATGGGGGAGGAGGTCTGAATATAATCACATTTATTGTATGAAATTCTTTAATCAATAAAATTTTTCTTAAATTAAAAAAAAAAGTCTTTTAACAGGGCCTGGTATTTTTGATTGGTTAAATAGATAACAGTGTCAATGTGTGGAATTTTAAAAACTTGTTTATGTATTATTTTGATCTATTTCTCTGTGGCATTTGATGCAATAAACCTTTAGACTTTATTTTGGACATTCTCAAAACAACATAAAACAAGCCAGGTGTGCTGGCACATGTTTTTAATCCCAGCACTGGGAAGAAAAGGCAGGCAGATCTCTGTGAGAACAAGGTCGGCCTGGTCTACATAGTGAGTCCTGGACTAGTCAGGGCTGTGTAGTAATTTGCCTCAAAATAAACAAACAAAAACCTATAAAATAAAGCCCTCAGTATGTCAAAAGTTATATCTATCTCTTGTACTATTCTATTTAACCTTTTCTGGACCAACAGGAATATCTCATTCTTCCATGGTGGATGCATAACAGGGAGATGAAACTTTCCCATACTTCTAATCACTCCAAACAGCCTTCATGCCAATTAGAGCTGCTTAGATTATGAAGGGGCAATATGGGAGGAGTGGGAGGGAGGGAGCAGGCGTGGATTTGTTCAAAACACCTTATATGCATGTATGAAATTCTCAATAAATTTTTTAAAGTTAAAAAAAACAAAAAACAAACAAAAAAACTTCATTCTCGTTCTCTCTGTCATTTGAAGGTGCCCCCAGAAGATCAAAGGTCAGTTCTTCTCCTGTTGTATATATGTATGTGTGCACACAGACGTGTATGTATGTCTGTGGAGGCCAAAGGCAAATACTGGGTCTCTTCCTCTATTGCAAGTAACTAATACAAACCTCATTAAAAAATCTTCTGGCCGGACGTGATGGTGCACGCTTTAATCCTAGCACTCAGGAGGCAGAGGCAGGTGGGTCTCTGTGAGTTCCAGGCCAGCCTGGTCTCTGTAGCAAATCTAGGCCAGCTGGGGCCACGCTGAGGCCTTGTCTCAAAAAGACCAAAACAAGAACAAAAAAAACCTTTTTATTATTTATTTATTATTTTAATACTTTATGTGTATGTATGCATTTTATGTGTATGTATGCATGTAAGTGCACCCATGTCATGCAATGCCCTCGGAGGTCAGATTAAGTGTCAGATTCCCCTGGAACTGGAGTTACAGATAGTTGTTAGGTGCTGGGCATTGAACCCAGGTCCTCTGGAAGAGCAGTCAGTGCTCTTAACCACTGAGCCATCTCTCCAGCCCCTCCACCTTATTTTGAGGTTGAGTCTCTTGCTGAACCTGGGGCTCACTGTTTCAGCTAGACTGGCTAGCCAGCTACCCCAGGACCCTACCTGTCTCCCCTTGCCCACCCCCAGCATTGGGCTTACAGGCTTGTGCCACCACCATGTTTGGCCTTTCACACCGATGCTAGGGATCTCAACACAGGGCCTCATGCATTTTCAGCAAGCACTTTACCCACTGAGCTATCTCCCTAGCCCCTGTCTGTTTGTCTTGAAATGGTTATAAATTAGTCCACTGGAGAGGGTGACCTTGAACTCCTGATTGTCCCGCTTCCAGTTTACAGGAGAAACTACAAACATATACTACCATGTTAAACAACACTAGGGATCAAACTCCAGATTTTGTGCATGTTAGGTAAGCACTCTATCAAGTGAGCCACGTCCCCAGTCCTGTTATAATCTCAGTTTTCACTCTTGTTTAATGCAACCTCTATCCTAGGTTCTGGCCTGGGAGTCACAGGAGGGCTTTGGTATTCTCTTATCAATCAACTCCACCAAACTGATGTTGCTTCATAGTACATCACCATGATCAACCAAGGCAAGACTGCCCCACAATCATGTCCGAACACAAAAAATAGGAAGTGGCCAAATCACAGAAATGACCACGTGTCACCCTGTCCTTGCCAACATGAAATATTACTGCTGCTTTGCCAGTTACAGTTTCATCCTCCCTCTGCTTCTCTCAGCAAATCGATGATTTATTAAGATACTCAGTTGCATAACTCCCCACCCACATTTCATTTCCTGGGCAGTCCCCTAATCCAGAGCAAAGATTCAATTCCTTGAACCCTTCTCCACACTACCTAATGCCAGCTCAGATGCCATGAGTCTTTTCTAATCCTTTCTGAGAAGCCGCCTTGTTTCCTGTGGTTTTCTCTCAGGGTACAGGCAACACATTGAACTTGTTCAGCTACAGACATGTTCGTAGTGGTCTTTCAACAAATCTTAGGGAAAAACCTTAGTTCTCAAGTTTGGAGAGAATTCTGGCATTGTAAGTAGAATAGGAGCAAGATTTCCGGGAAGAGAGTTACCTCATCACTGATTCCATCCCTCATCCCCCACAACAGAAAAACCTTCTAGAATTATAATATGGCTATTTGGCGATCTAGTTCCAAGAGAGAGAGAATTGAAAGATGAGTTCTTACCAGGATACTGAGCCGTCAGGCCACAGAAGCTGGCTACGTTAACAAAGAGGATGTTCTTTCCTTCATACTGCTTGAACTGGATATACTCCCCGCCAGTCAGAGTAAAAGCTCCATACTCGTAGATGGTACCAGCCACCTCTTTGTTGCAATCCACCTGGAATATAATGTAGGTAACTGTAGTGATATGATCTGATAAACAGTAATTCTCAACACCTGTCAGCTTTTTCAAAGCATGTAAGGACTCCATGCAATATCTTAAAACGCTTAAAAACTGGGTATTTTCTACATCAGAAACTCCATACCCAACCAGGCAGCAGTGACCAACATACAAGGCACCCTCTCAAGTGGACTGTAACCTCAGGTGACCTTACTGTAGCTGTCAATATTTTACATGCACACTTACCCTTCACATGCTGAGTAACAGAGGTCAAAGCTCAAAGGTCAGGTTCAAGGACCTGCACGCATCCTTGGGAGCATTTCTAAAATGCCATTCCCAAGACATAACAAGCTCCAGGGGTGGGACCCAGTGACCCATCCTTCCACAACTCTCCAGGGGCTTCTCAAGGTAGCTTACTCCTGGGAATCCCTGTGCTACATGGGAACTGTTCTCCCCCGTTCACAGAGGAGAGCTGGAACCAACAGAAGATTGTAGCCTTAATTTTCAATCAGTTTCTCTAATTTTGAAGTTAAAATCTATTGGTCCCTCAAGTCATCTACCTCAGCTCCACTCTGCATTCTAAGATGAATGCATACATTGTTTTCAGGAATGGCTACGGAATTCCTATATGGAGACTCTTGGCTACCACCTCCTACCCCCCTATAAGAACTCTTGGCTACTGACCCTCAGTGTGGTGACTGCCCAGCTACCTGGAACAGCACCAAGATCTAAGAAGTCCTCACACGGAGCTGAGCTTTGTCTTCATCACCCCCATTTCCCTTTCCCTAAAATCACTGGCAGACAGTTCTCCTGGCCTCTGTGTTTTAGCACTCACTGAATTCCCTAACCCCAAAATTGTTGGGGTAATTCCAGTGCTCACTTCTCTACCCACTTTTCTGGGTTTGATCCAACAGCCTGTCCAAGAACAACCAGCTTCTCAGTCCACTTGTCACTGTAATTGCTCCTTCCCTAGAGCCCATGGGGCTGCTCCAGTTATAGACTGGTGACAGGTTCAGAGTTGTCAAGCAGTCACCAGAGAGGAGTGGCAACATGACTGCAGTGAGGGAAGCCTTCAGAGATGGGAGGAAGAGGGGAATGGGTGGGAGGAGACTAGCTCCCATATTCAGCTCAAAGAACCACGAAGTGCACAGAAAATGCCTAGACGGCACAGTCAAGGCTGGAACCAGCTGTGGCAGGCGGCAATGGCAGAGGTCTGCAAAGAACGGCTGGCAGGCAGGTTTCTCCTTTTAAGCACAGGAGAGGCCCCCTGCATCTCTGGTAGTCAAGTTACTCAACAGACAGTTGTTGAAATCAGCACGGATCCCTTCTAGGAAGCTTACCTTCCATTTTTGAGGCTTCAGGGTTTCCTGAGCCAAGCCAGCCAGGATCAGTGGGAAAAGACAGGAGGCCCAGAACTGGTGGGTCATGGCTGTACCAGGAACACTGAGGGAGTCTGAGGTCCTCAGGAATCACGATGCCTTTTGAGTTTCCTCCACAGATGCCAGTTTGAAGATGCACCATCCAATCACAGAATGCCACCCCTGCTTCTTCCCTGGGACAGGAGACACACAGGTACTTGTTCTAACAGGGCCAGGTGAGGTGATGGGGAAGTTTTCTCTCTGGAACCTGAGATTCCGTACCTCCCCTCTCCAAGTGACTGGAAGTTCCTTGGTGTTGGCTCTTTATCTGGGAAATAACTGATACCAGAATCAGAACCTGCTTTTCCACAAGACACTCATGAGATATGATATGCATGCATACTAAAGGTTGGAAAGCCTGGCCCCAGACTGTCCACAGCAGTGTAGCCAAGAGACACAGCCATCAGCAGCCTGAGTAGCTCTGCTTCCTCTTCAGGGACCTCCACACAGGTGAAGCCAGATCTTGACTAAGCTGCAGGAAAAGGATTTCATTACTAGCCAGAGCAAAGCAGTTAGTGTGTTTGTTTGGAATTTAGACAGAGAGTTATATAAGAAAGGACAATCCCAATCTCAGAGAGTCACACTCATGTGTCTTTACAATGACTGTACATGTGATTCCGTGACTTTCTAAGTCATATTTCTCCAAGCATGTGACTTAAAACAAGATTTAAAGATTAAGCAAAGCTTAAAGTTTAAGTAAACTTTAAAAGTAAAAGTATATGGGCTGGCTTCCTTTTTTAAATATTAAATTCTGTGTGTGCACACATGTAGAGGTCACAGGACAACTTCATGTTGTTCTCATCTTCCACTTTTATGTGGGTTCCAGAGACTGAACTCAGGCCCTCGGGCTTGTGAAGCAAGCACCATCTCACCAGCCCTGGTTCACCATTTTGTTTTTTGTTTGTTTGTTTTGACCAAGTTTCATGTATCACAGGCTGTCTGGGCCTCCAGTTGACTATGTAGCTAAGGATGACCTTAAACAATTGATTGTCCTGCCTTCACCTGCCAAGTGCTGGTCTTACAGTATATGCCACTATGCCTGGTTTTGTGTGATGCTGAGGCTCGAACCAAGGACTTCCTGCATGCTAAGCAAGTGCTCTACAAAGTGAGCTATTGTACATCCCAAACCTTATTTTTCTTTCTTTCTTTTTTTAATATTTTATTTTATGTGTATGCATGTATTGCCTGCATGTAGGTAAGTGCACTCGTGTTGTGCAATGCCTGTAGAGGACAGTAGAAGCTGTCAGATCCCCTGGAACTGGAGTTACAGATGACTGTTAGCCACCATGTGGGTGCTGGGATTTGAACCCAGGTCTTCTGCAAGAACAACCAGTGTTTCTAACTGCTGATCCATCTCTCCAGCCCCAAGCCTTATTTTTCTTAAAAAAATTCCTTTTGTGGAGGTTGGAGAGATGGGTCAGAAGTTAAGAGCACTGGCTGCTCTTGCAGAGGGCTCATACATATAAAATAAAAATAATAAATTTTTAAATAAAAAACAAATTTCCTTTTGCAAATGTGATTATAAGGCTGTTTTATGAAGTTTGCTGCTTAGATTTAAGGTTGAATGAGGAATGCTAACATAGTAAAACTTAGGGTTAAAAATGTTCTCTCCCTGAGTATGTGTAACTCATTGTTGTTAAGATGTTTGAAGCATCTTTAGGAAAACACATAAAATAATAAATTTTTAAATAAAAAACAAATTTCCTTTTGCAAATGTGATTATAAGGCTGTTTTATGAAGTTTGCTGCTTAGATTTAAGGTTGAATGAGGAATGCTAACATAGTAAAACTTAGGGTTAAAAATGTTCTCTCCCTGAGTATGTGTAACTCATTGTTGTTAAGATGTTTGAAGCATCTTTAGGAAAACACATATTATCTCTGTAAGCGATTATGGCTTCATCAGTTGTACTGAGGTTTCTTGACTTTCAGTCAGCAGAAAAGGCAAAGTAGATTTCACGGTGAGGGCTTCTTTCCCTTGTGTTCTCTTAAATTTTCCTGTCTTTCCATCCTCCCTCAAAATGACTATCCACTGTCCTGTCTCTTCAGACTTCACCATTTACACCACAGAATGTTGGGTTTTCTACAAATGAAGCTGAGCATTAGGACTAAATGTTTCAGGCTTTTTCCTACACTCTGTCCCACAGAAAAAAAAGTGTCTAAATGAGGAAAAACATTCATTCACAGAGGAGAGTTAGCAGGGACAAAGCTTTAGACCAGGAGTCTGGTCTTGAGTTTCATCCTCTGCAAATGTTTGTAATAATCTCTTCCCTACTTAATTCTGTAAACCTATTTATTGTAAAATCTTTAAGATAACAGCCAGAAAGTTCCAAAATATTTGAAGTGGGGCAGAACTGTATTTCCTGGCTGCTTTCTCTCCCATTCTCTGCCAGTACAGGTTCGCCATAAAGCCTTCCTCTGTAGTGCTAAGCCATTTGACAGCCATCCCCTTCCAGTCCATACAAAGGACCTTCTCTGTCTCTGGGGAATGGAATCTGGGTGGAGTTCAAGCCTTGTGAACTCTTAGAAGGCAAGCTTTTTGTTATCTCTGATTTCTGAGCTCTTTCAAAGCCTGTAACCCAGGTTCCTACCCTGACAACCGATTCTTCCCTGTGGCTCCTCACGCCTTTGGAGCGACAGAGCAGAAGGATTTTATCTGAGGCACGTTTCCAAGCTCCTCAACCTTCCCCCATTCTCAGTTTAACAAATGGTTGAACTGGGCCTGGAGAGATGGCTCAGCAGTTAAGAACATTGGTTGTTCTTACAGAAGACCCAGGTTTGAATCCCAGCACCCATATGGCAGCTAACAACTATCTGTAACTCTAATTATGATTATGGGGGATCTGTCCTCCAAGGGCATTGCACGACATGGGTGCACTTTTCTCCATGCAGGCAGTACAGGTTCGCCATAAAGCCTTCCTCTGTAGTGCTAAGCCATTTGACAGCCATCCCCTTCCAGTCCATACAAAGGACCTTCTCTGTCTCTGGGGAATGGAATCTGGGTGGAGTTCAAGCCTTGTGAACTCTTAGAAGGCAAGCTTTTTGTTATCTCTGATTTCTGAGCTCTTTCAAAGCCTGTAACCCAGGTTCCTACCCTGACAACCGATTCTTCCCTGTGGCTCCTCACGCCTTTGGAGCGACAGAGCAGAAGGATTTTATCTGAGGCACGTTTCCAAGCTCCTCAACCTTCCCCCATTCTCAGTTTAACAAATGGTTGAACTGGGCCTGGAGAGATGGCTCAGCAGTTAAGAACATTGGTTGTTCTTACAGAAGACCCAGGTTTGAATCCCAGCACCCATATGGCAGCTAACAACTATCTGTAACTCTAATTATGATTATGGGGGATCTGTCCTCCAAGGGCATTGCACGACATGGGTGCACTTTTCTCCATGCAGGCAGTACATGAATACACATAAAGAAATAATAATAATAAATTTAAAAAATTTTTAAATATTTATTTTTTTATTTCATGTGTACGCATGTATTGTCTTCATGTAGGTAAGTGCACCGGTCATGCAATGCCCAGGGAAGACAGAAGAGGCTTTCAGGTCCCCTGGAACTGGAGTTACAGACAGTTGTTAGCTCCCATGTGGGTGCTGGGATTCGAACCCAGGTCTTTTGCAAGAACAGTCAGTGTTCTTAATGGCTGAGCAATCTCTCCAGCCCCAATAAAATATTTTTTTTAAATGGTTGAACCACTCTCTCCTACCAGCAGGCCTCTCTCTGGGGTAAGCCTATTGCCCCCTCCACACCTTGACACCCCCAGGCTCATTCACCTGCCCATCTCTACCTCTTTTCTCTCCTCCGAGTTTGCACCCTGCCCCATTCCTTATCTTGGGGCCCCAGACACCTGGGGAACCAATACTGCTCCCTGATCCTTTTCATCCAGACCAAAGTAGTGCCTTCTCTGGGCCCCAGGAGCTCTGCTTCTGGGCCTGGCCCCACCCTCACCTCCCTCTGCTTCCCTGGGCCTGCAGGACCCACAGCAGGCCTCTCTCCTACACGCAGGCCTCTTTCAGGGGTAAGTCCATTACACCCTCTGCGCCTTGACTCCCTCAGCCTCATTCACCCTCCTATCTCCAGGGATGGTTCAATTTACATAGGTCAATAAATGTCATAAATCCCCCTCCTATCTCCAGGGATGGTTCAATTTACATCGGTCAATAAATGTCATAAATCCTATAAATGGACTCAAGGACAAGAACCACATGGTCATCTCAATAGATGCAGAGAAGGCCTTTGACAAAATTCAACATGCATTTATGTTCAAAGT